CATGCAAGTTCATGCCCAGGGCTGTTTCTCTGATGTAGCAGGAGAGGCCAAGTAGAGTTTTTTTCAGCAACTTCACCTGGAGCTGGGTGCAGGCTGGCACACAATTTAAGTGCGATGTTAGAACAATATTACATATGTTGGAAATATGAAAAGCAAGAAAAGATTCTACATATTTAGGAAAACTGTCCATTTTTAATTTAACTCTACCAAAGGGAATGGGTTAAACTACAGCATCCCTGTTCCTCTTTTCCCTAGTGGTGATTTGTCCTTGAGAGCAGAGTCGAGTTCATTACTCTTTCTGTCAGCTGTTGACTCTCAGGTAACACAACGGTGACGCAGGAAATTGTGGGATCTGTTCAGGTTTCAAATGCATCGTAATTGTTATTTTTGCAACTCACGTATCTTCTGCAATGTATTTCTAGATCTTAATTAGATTATACTGTGGGAAGTAGTGAATTCTGATTCATGAAAACAGTTTTGAAGTGCAAGCATCAGAGAGATGCCACAAGTGAGACAAGTGTAATTAATGAGTGTAATTAACACAGATTGAACAGCTCTTTTTTCGTTTAGTGCACAGCTTGCTGGTTGGACAGTCTAATGCAGTAGGTGCTGTTCCTTGAATCGAACGTTATGAGGAAGAAACAGCTGAAGGAATGAAACTCCTGCAGACACATTCCAACACATTCAGCAATGAGAGACAAATCTGAAGTCACCCGCAGGGCAGGCACTCCAAATGACACTCCAAATGTGTGCTGAGACTGCAAGTTTAGATTCTTCCTATGACATTCCTCTTATAATAAAGCCCCTTACTTTGATCCAAAAAGTATTTTTCTGTTATTTTTTTTTTATTTCTGCATGGTGGACGTCTTTAAGGAAACATTCGCAAGCCATCAGTTAATGGCATTGTTTCCTGCTCTTTAATGTCCAGTAGAAGAAGTGTCTGACAGTAAGAAGGCCCATTACCTGAGCACAGAGTTGTCTGGGCCCATAGTTACTACTGTGGCGTCTGTGGCCTGCAGGGACATCAGCTTAGCCAGTGCTTCAGACGTTTTACTCTTTGGAACAGAAAAACAAAATGAAAAAACTCCTACAATTAAAGGCAGAGTAAAGTCCAGTACTACCTGGAGCTTAGCCCACACCAACTTAACACCCTACTACAGAGTAAATACAGTATTTCTTCAAAGGCTAATTCACAATAACAACAATACTAATTAGGGAAAGAAGAGCCCTGCTTTTACATCAATTTGGTTTTATTCTGAGATTTCTTTTTGTGTGCTTGAGGACTGAATTTCAACACATCTTGGTGAATCTGCTAAACCCCTCACCACAAGAAAACACAACTGGGAAGTGAAATAAAAAAAGGAATATAAAACTCTAAAATTAGATCAGAGTGTGACAACAAAGCCATTACACTCTTTTGGTAGCACACTGCTGAATTAGGCCACATGGACAGGCTAGGAAATGATGGATAGGGATATTCCACTGGAAAAGTGTACTACTTGCTACTTGCTATAATTGTATATACATTATATTTTATATACATATGATATACAAATAATATCATAATATATCATTATAAATACAACAGCTTATGCATATAATCTGCCGAGCGTGTTGCTCCATGATTATGAAAAGCTTGGTCAGTGTATTGAACGTGGTTACCTTTGCTACATGCTCCAGCCAGCGGCCCAGGGCAATAAAAACAAACAGCATAGGAGGAGTGTCGAAGAATGTGACCGGACTTTGATCCGATTTCTCCACCATGGCCACTATCAGAACCACACAGGAGTAAACATACGAGACAGAGGTCGCCAGCACTATGAGCACATCCATGTTGGCAGCCTTATGCTTCAGGGATTTATAGGCCTGGATGTAGAAGTACCGGCCTCCAAAAACCTGAAGAACAAACAGACGGGTGTAAAAAACTGTACAGGCGCAGGCCGGCCTTCACCTGCAGCCCCCGGGGAGCACACTGTCACAGCTGAGGAACTCGCTCTCCGGGCTAATCGGTATTTCTGTGGGAGTCTGCACTATCTGAAGGGAGCTATCTGAGCTATCTGAAGTCAGAAGAACACGGAGATCCAGCACCCTGGTCGTCAGAGGTGACAGGAGCTGTGGGGCAGCGGCTCTCTGGCAGGGGAAAGTGCGCCGCGGTGTGCGATCAAGGGCCCAGCAGAAGACAGACTCCACTGCAGATCGCACGCGGACCGGCCAGGAGGGGCCACGGCATCCTCGCGTGGGCAGAGCTGCAGGTCTGCTCCCCGTACCACGCCAGAGGCTTGGCAAATAACTCCTGCAGTAAAACCTGTGCTTTCCTGGAAACACGTCTTTCTAAGGCGCTTACCTGGACGGGGGTGCAGAGGACAAAAAAGGCCAGGTTGAGGATGGAGAGTCCCGGCACGATATTCTGCTCCTTGGGCATGGAACTGCTGTGCTTGCTGTCCATGACAATCATGTAGATCATGAGCCCCATGACAGGGATACCGAACACCAGACTGAACAGGAACGAGTTTTTCCACCTGAGAGACACAGCACACGGGCAGGGGATGACTCAAGAGAAACAAGACCATTGCACTGAAAACACAGAAGCCGTGCCACTGCCGTTCTTTTAAAACTTCATTCCAGTAAATGAGTTGACCTCCGCTTTCTGGAGATCATCCATATCTCAAAACACCACCACGTGGGACTTTTTTGTCTGCTGTGGAGAGCACCCCTTTTGCAAGACTTAATCGTTTCCTAAATTGCGTGAAAGGTAACAGGAGCTAAAAGTGGTTAGACTAGATGGAGAGACCATAGCTGCTGGCGCAGAGTGGTCATCAAGAATACAGAGCTAGTCCCAGTAACACAGCCTCCTGTTTTCTGTCATCTGTAAACAGTATATGGCTTTAAAATAGAAATGTATTAAATCAAAGACAAAGAAAAGGAAAGTGCAGCAAAGACCACACCACTTACTGTTTTATCTCTTCTTGGTGATCCAGGTTACTGCCCACACCTTCATTTTTCATAATGGATGCACCAAAACCCAACCCCTTCCATGAAGAAAAAGTAATAATGAGACAACATACCCGGACTTTACAACACTGAAGAAAATATTTCTAATGTGCAAGTTTTCTGGTGTGTTTTAAGGCAAGTTCCATCCATCCATCCATCCACTTGGTAACCCATTCTTCCAATTCAGGGTTGCAGGACACATCAGAGTCCAACCCAGCAAGCAATGGGCACAGGGCAGGGCACACCCTGGACAGGACGCCAGTCCAGCACAGGGCAGGCACACAGACACAAACTCACTCACACCTGGGCCAAATATCCTAGAAGCCAAGTAACCTACCAGTATGTCTTTGGACTGTGGGAGGCAACCAGAGCACCCAGAGAAAACCCATGATATCACTGGAGGAGCATACAAACTCCACACAGATAGCAGCCTAGGTCGGAAATTGAACCACCATGCTGCACTTTGATGCCAGTTAAACACTATAATTCAAAACAAATAATGTGAAATACAGCAAATTTAGCACCAGCTTAATCCACTGTAACAGAGCCGTGGGGCCTAGAGTATTAGTCTTAGGTTAGAGCACAAGAAGAAACACTCCAGAGACCGAAGAAAATACTTTGCTTTCTTTGCGAGGTTGTTCAAGAAATCGGCTTCACCTATAGGCGAGCCAATTCCTCTGATTTCTCTCTATAAAAAGGTACGACAGACGACAAAAGGTATCTACTCGCTCTCGGGCATAGACAGGTCAGTTCTCTTTTTATGAGACAACAAAAAAGTATGGCGGTGCGAGACGGAGAAAGGACTTTAAGCCAACTAGGTGACGCGACCGTGAAATTATGACCGACTGCTGCCGTGTCAGACAGGATCTGCCGGCTAACATGGGAATTGACAGCCGGGAAAGCAGAACCAGGGTGAGGGACCAAACCAAGGAGGGAAAGAGTAAGCATCAGGGCTGGTCTGAGCTCAGCTGATTAACGACTTTCCCAGGAGTAGATCATTTCTGTGCCACCCTGGACTAACACTCCAGATTACTCCACTCCATTACAGCCACAGTCCCAACAATAAGATGCAATCTCCTTCAATGTCGTTTGGAATTCCTTCAAAGACATAGCTGTATGCCGTATTTAACAAGGTAAGCAATGAACTTTATACCGTACCTCTATAATCCGGATGAGGTCCCGAGCTCCCAAGATCTCAGGGTCAAACTTAATGTGAGCTCTACTGGTGGCCAGAGCGACTGAAGCTTCCACAACTCCCCTGGTTCCCATCAGCTTGGCCTCGATGTTGTGCACACAGGACGCACACGTCATTCCAGTGACCTGGGGGCGGCAACGAGAATATCCGTGGAGGATATTAGACAGAAACTGCCTTGTGCTTATTGATCACGTTATCGGGGCACCACCACTCTTTGAGGAAAAAATATCCGATGTGAAGAATGGTTAGAACTGTTAAGGAGACATGTCAAGTATATTTACAACAGCAGCAGTCTGGGTTAATGAATGGCAAGCTCCATCACCCTGCAGCCCACTGATGCCCAGCAGGTGTGAGCCTGTCCAGTAGCTGGAGGGGAGACCTCCTGGGAAAGCTAAGGTTGCTGCTGGAAGAGGTGTTAGTGAGACCTGTAGGGGATGCTCAGGCTGCTGCTAATGTCCTAGTATGGTGATGAGGATGCTATTCTGTTACTAATGCAGCAAGATTTCTCTGGCTTCTGTTAATAGTTATTCACAACACAAATGTAGGAAAATAAAACTGAAAACTTACTGTTCACAAACTAAATTTCATTGGTACTGATAGTTAGTATGTAGTTTTGCTATGTACTTATTGTCTGGGATGGGATCAACCCCATCATGTCGTCACCTCTCAACTGCTAAACGGGGTCACATCCTGAAGAAAGGAGTTTCTCTGGAAGTGAACTCACGCCTTGCATCTGCGCTAAGCTTCTTCTCCAATTAAATCACACACATGTATCGCACTTGGAGAAGGACCTGGAGACTTTTATTTCCATGATACTTTTCCCAGCAATGGTGTTTAGACGTGAGTGCACTGAAGCTGTTTCAGGAAGCGGCAGACCAGTGGGATCTGATGGAGGAATGTTGCCACAAGCAGCCCTTGAGCACAGGAGGGTGTCTCAGTGCAAATGTAAAAGATAAAACCTCCTGTTGAAGACAACGGAGATGCCTGCTCTCACTGCGAGCTGAAATTCAAGAAACTGTGTGCCTGACATAAACATAAAGGTTTTCTTTGAGGTACTCGAAATAATGTTTTCCAAATCTGAGGATATATTTGTATGCTAACTAGATGGAAGACCTGAACATTATCTGTCCTTTTTCCTCAATGGTGTAAATCATGGCTCTGACCCACGAAAGACAGAAAGCTGGCCTGGAACAGGGTATTTAAATTCTTTACTTATGTAGCGGTCTTCCACATGGTGTTGAAGGACCTTGCAGTACCCTGGGGCTTTTTACTGGCTAGTGACCTCTGGCCTGGGTAAAAGATCAGGCTCTACTCACCACAAGGTCCAGCTTTCCGTCTGTGATGGCGTTGTCCTCAATCAGAGTGGCGCCAAAGCCAAGGCCGATAATGAGCTGTGTTATCTGTAAAGCATCCAGAAGCTCGGGATTATACTTCACCTCAGCCTTTCCCGCCATGAGGGCCACCAGCACAGACACTATACCTGGAAGACACAAGGAGCCCGTCAGGAATATGCTTGAGTTCTGAGAGATCAACCTCTGGAAAGAGCATCTTCCAGAAACATATATAGCGCTGCCAGATTGAGAAGGTGTATTATGGGCACAGTGTCTCATGCATTGTTGAGCTATTGTGACATCCTAAAACATTTTTAGCTGATGCTTTTGCAGATATTGGTCAAGGGTGTCACACGCGTGCGTGTGTCAAGTGAGAGGTCAAGATCATGGCAGAGTTCTGATTCCTGCATTTTCCTTCCATGTTCACAATGTGCAAACAGGGCAAGAGCAATATTCAACCGTTTTAATTCATCCTTACAGGCGACTTAAACTGACCTTCAATAGAGTTACATAGAGAAAACCACTTTAAAAAATGGAAACCCAGCCACAGGTGTCCTAGCGCAACGGGTTTCAGGTTTTGTTCAGATTTTCCAGGAAGAGAATAAGATCATCCAAGCTCATTTGGTAATGTTTACCTCTTTACTTCACCACTCATTACTAGTGCACATAACCAAATCAGCAGTTTTTAAAAAACTGTCGTACAAAGAATGAAGAGGCCCTGCTCAGAAGAATCTTACTTGGCCTCACTTCCCTTTACAACTTCGATGAAAACACTTGAGTGGTATTTTCTGTCACCGCTCGGTCCTCTAAACTTTGTTTCGAGCAGCGTGCTGGTAGTTACGAGGCTAACAGATGGCTCAGGCGTGGCTCCTCCCCTGGCTGTCGGCGTGCTGCCCACCCCTGTGTTTCTGCAGGCTCCTCTCGATGTTGGCCACGCAGGAGGTGCAGGTCATGCCCGTCACGTGGATGAAGCACTTCTGGGTTCTCCCGTCCTCTGAGCCCCGGGGTGCTGCCTCTCCCGTGTGCGGGACAACGGCGTGCTCTGGGCGGCGGGGGGACCGGGACTGGAAGGACGGGGGTGATGGGCCGAGGGGGGGGGGCCCGGGCTGGGATTCTGAGATCTGACCGTTGGACCACAGGGCTTCCGGAACAGCTGCTCCAGTGGACCGTGCATGAAAAACAGGAGGTGTCAGAATGACGGAATTACCAGCACTTAGAGACCCGTTTTCAGGCAATAAAACCAGTGACAGCCCTCTTTCACAGAACTGCTACAATAAATACACCTGACAGTGTTTCACACAGGACTATTGCTCTGCATGAGACTGGGCCTTTCACACTTATGTAAAACACAAATGTAAAAACACCACATCAGATAAAGACTTTAATTTCTAATTATGAAATTAGATGGTCAGCAAATATAAAATGACAATGTTACTTTGGTATTTTGTAACACGCGAAAAAAAATGAAATGATACCTGCCATTTGTATTCGAGCAGGTAACTGAAAATGACTTTTTTTAGAACCAGAAATTGAAATACATAAAAAGGTATTACAGTGCAGAGGTTATATCCACACTGAGAAGTAGAAGGAAAAAAAGAAAAAACACAACATTTTGGCTGTGAAGCCTTGTGCAGGTACATGACCTACGTGTTTTATCGTCATTCTTTACTTTCCAGCTGGGAACTAACCTCTGTTGCGCATTTGCAGGTCACTCACTGACGTATGCATATGATCTCCTCATACATACATAAAGTTCAGGTTTAACCTGAAGAGCTTGTGTACAGAGAGGAAACACATTCTGTTCATAATGTCCTTCGACTTTGAAGCTAGCAGTTATAGATATTCTGGGCTCTAGTGCTCCAATGTACATTGAGAGCTACAGAGTAATCATAAAATACTTGGTAGTAAAAATAGAATAGCTCTGTCTGATGTAACCATGGGGACCTGGATTAGCTGGAGAGCCTATAGCAAATGCAGTGCAGTTACTTCCAGCCAACTCCTACAGCTTTTCCATATTAAATTAAATGGACTTTTTTTTTTTAAGATTACATAAAGAGTCTTATTTTTCCACTTGACAAATAACTGAAAGGACGAATCACGGATTTCTGAAGTACACTTAGGCTCTTTTTCACGCTATACTTGTTGCACATTCAACGGTAAGTGTAATGAGTGGGCAGACAGGGAATTAATGAAAAGGCAATTTAAGAGGAATTCTGTGCAACACCAATGAATATCCCCATGAAGCAGCCTCTTAGCCATGAAAGAGGGCAATGAATTGTAGAAATACACTGATGCTATAAGTGTAATCCTTCCATATTTCTCAGAGTTCCTAACACACTTTTTTTGTATAAACAACACTGTCACACCGGAGCGTTAATAAACGAGCTGGATCCTATGCGAAGCGAGTGTCTAAGATGGCAAACAAGTCTGTGAGGCGTAGTCCGAAAGAGCTGAATCCCAGGGTCGAAAGGAGAAGTCAAAATCCGTGAGACCATTCAGGTAAAGCGCGTGGTGAGAGAAAGCAAGCAGCGAACTGACTAGCCTTTGAGTCAAAATACCCAGCGAGGAAGTGTGGGGACAAGGAGCTTAAATAGTGAAGAAAGGGACGTGACTGGATAATGAGGTAATGAGTGCAATTAATGCGGTCAGGTGTGGTGCCTGGTCATAACAAACATGGGGTGAAAAGGGTAGACAGAGTCTTTAGCAGTACCTGCTATGGAGGCCTCAAAGCCCATGTCTTCTATGGCAGCCCTCAGCTCCTCTGGGTTGGTGAGTTTCGGGTCATAGTGGATGGTGCCCCTCTCGTCAGGCAGAGACACCTTTATGGCATGCACACCTGCCCTCTGGGAAACCACGCCTTCTATGGACTGCACACAGGACTTGCAGGTCATGCCCCCAATGTTAATCACAACCGGCGAAGACCGGTTCTCCCCAGGGCTCAGCCCGGGCTGCTGGCCGAACCCAGGGTCGGTGGCCCACAGCGGGGCAGCCACAGGCAGGCCGCTCACATCGCTGGGCAGGGACACTTCGAAATTCCCCGGCGGGAGGCTTTCTATCCGCCGCTTCACAGATTCCAGGGTGATTAAGGAGGGATTATATTGCAGCGCGGCACTTCTGCGTCCCAGGTTAACGGCGATGCTCCGCACCCCTGCCACCTCGGAGAGGTGCCCGGTGATGTTCTTCACACAGGACTCGCAGCGCATCCCCTGCACGCCCAGGACCGCGCTGCGCCACTCTCCCGCCGCGTCCTGGCCAGCGCCCCGCTCCGCCGGCGGCCCTTCCTGGGCGCTGCCCCCCGCCCGCAGCCGGGCCGCCCCGGGGGGCTGGGGCTCGGTCCCGATGGCCGCCTCGAAGCCCATCTCCTCGATGCAGTTCCTCAGGTCCTCGGGCTGGACGAGGTGTGGCAGGTGGGCGACGACGGCTTCCTGCCGGCTGAGGGACACCCTGATCTGCAGCACGCCCCGCAGTTTCCCCACCTTCCCCTCGATGGCGCTCGCGCAAGACCGGCAGGTCATCCCCCTCACCCGCAGCCTCACCGAGGACCCGCCGGCGCCGCACTCGCCCGCCACCACGCTGGCCCCGAAGCCCATGTCCTCAATCCGCCGGCACACCTCCTGCGCGGTGAGGGCCGAGGCACTGTACTCCACCTGGGCGTGAGCCTGGGCCAGAGACACCTTCACTCCCACCACGCCCCTCACATCGGACAGCTCGCCCTCAATGGACTGGACACAGGACTGGCAGCTCATGCCCTCGATCGCAATGGTGGCCTGGCTGGGGTCGCCCAGCGGAGGGTGGACCGCGCCCGGGCTGTCCGCTTCATACCCCTGGTTCTCGAAGACGTTCCCATGTAGCGGCCACATGGCATAGGGATAGGCATTCTTCTGAGACAGCTAAGGAGCAAAAACAAGACTGAGTAATACACAGAACTGGGCAGCATCCATGGAGTTGGGGTGACCATTTCTCTGGAGCATCTACAGTACAGTACATCCAGCAGACTGACAGCCAAATCCATTTCCATCTCGGTTGGTGAACCAAACTTAAATCCAATATTTCATGTACTCAATGCACTTAGTTACTGTAAAAAAGTCTTAAATCTTAAGACGAATGACTCAGAGGTCGTAATGACGTAGTTTATATCGTCACATCAAATCATACGGCATGTTCAAGAGAAATACTTATTCAATGAATGGAATAAATAGAAAATTCATTCCAAGGAAACTTCGCAGGGTTAGTGGTTTAAGCAAAAGATCATCAGCACCATTCCTTTGGAACAGAGTATACCTGCAGCATCCTTCTTTTAACCTTAACCTTTTCACATAAAAACATTTTTTGTACCAGCGCCAATGACAGTTGCTTAATTTACTAGACAATATACTATCATTTAAATCTTTATCCTGTTCACCCTTGTAAATAAATACTTTCTGTTTCAGTGAAGACAATTTGAACTCAAATACATGATACGATTAGTGGAGTGCTGCAAGGATCTGTACTAGGACCACTGCTTTTCTTAATTTATAATAATGATCGAGATTCTGATATAGTTAGGAAACTATTCAGGTTTACAGCTTATATCAAATTCGGAGGATTAGTGAATACTGTGGAAATGGCAAATAAAATTAAGACTGGGCAAACAGCCGATAAAAAAAAAAAACCAAAAACAAAAAAGGGGTTGACAAAGTCAAGTCGGTGTCCACCTTCAGAATGAACAGTGAAGCGTGAACCAGAGTACACCAGTGGAAACTACACGGAAAAACGTTTAAAACTGAGAACATGCAGCAATTTCTTTTTACCCCAAGGGCTGTTGGAGTATGGAACAAGCTACCCGCCGTGCTATTAAAGCCAATATCTGGCTTCGTTCAAGAAATGGCAGGGGGAGATTCTTCTATCAATAAGCTACTAACGTCCTCATGGCCCAAATGAACCAAACGTCCTCATTTGTAACCTTTCTTAGCCCATTTGAGTCCCCGTTAAGCTGTTGGAACAGGACAAAAAGCTTGACTTCTCCAGCTGCAAACCTAGATGGAGAGAATGGTATTGAATGAACAAAAGCACAGTGTGGAACAGGGTTGATCAAACTGTTGTTAAACTGTTAGAGGCTCTTCTAAGGTACAGGAAAGGAGCCTGATCGTCTCCCAGCACTGTGATGCTACTTAAAGTCAAACTCATCTGTTTGCCCTGACTCCTGACTCATGAATCAAGCCGTCACTTGCAATCGGCCTCTTACCAAAACATGGATCTCTCTTTGTAAACACTTTGGTAACCCTGCTGTACGTTTTCTTGGTTCTGAGAAAATAAAGTTCAAAGGTACCCCTCTAAAAATTGCCACACACTTTAGGACACTAAGTTTCAAAAGAAGCAGTCGGACAAAAAGTCAATGTTTGTGTGTGCCTGGTAAACTCTTTGCACACTGTGAATAAAAGATAAGTTCTGCACTCAGGAGGACTTTTGAGAAATCACCTTCAGAGCTAAAACTCATTTGGAAGTGGTCATGCAAACTGAGGCATTTTGTTGTTATAATCAAGAGGTAATTTATTATATAAAATTAAACTGCAATAATTTCAGAAGGGATCATAACAATCTTGCAGCCTTCTGTATGTAAAGTCCTCCGTTTGCCCGCTTATTTTGTGAGGCTTTAGATAGGGAGAAAAAATGTATTATTTATATATTTTATATTTACTGTCTTATTCTGGATTTATTTAACAAACAGAAAACAAAACCAATTCACAGTTTTGATCCCAGCGTTTCAAACAAAGAAATACTGTACATGGGGCATCTTTCAGGCCTCTTGAAACTCCTCTGCACGAAGGCACATGATGCAGTTCAATCAGCTATATCCGATCCAAACCATTTCCCCTCCACAAGAACCAAAGCTTACAAAGCTTGTGAGGAAGCCATACAGGACACCTCGCTCATGCCTATAAACCCTAAATGACGAATCAAAGGTTAATTTGGTGAAATTGACAGTCTTGTGCACTGATTGTCTCACACTTTCTCTCAGTACCATACTAACAACTTTGCCTGTGTTTACTGAGCTTATTAAAAACCGCAAACCCACATACTGTAAGAAACACTGATCTCCTCTCACACCTGTTCTGAGCTGATTCCTTTCGAAATACGCCCAATGTACATGATTT